TATCAATTGTAATTATTTTCCCGAGCAGAAAAAGAGGAATAGAAGCAAAAAATGAATTTAGAGATAAACTGAAAACGAAGAAGGGCATTGTTTTGAGTAGAGAGAAAGAGAACAAGAGAAAATAACTCTAATTAAGAGAAGGTATTAGCGGATGGAGACATTTTAAGCAAGAAGAAATAGAAAAAAGACCATATTGATAAATTAGGAAATATAGTAAAGAATGAAAAGGGAAAAATAATGAAAGGAAAAAAGAAATTTAGTGTAAGAAAAAGAAAGAGAAAGAGTTAGAAGGATAAGTACTTATATATGAAGAATAGAAGAAAACTGACTAGAAAAGAACAAGAAGAAACAAAAAAACAGATTACTTTTTCCACGCATAAAATAAAAACGTAGTAAAAAAGGGGAAGATAAGCACAAAAAATACAGAGAATGGATATAGAGAAAAATTGATACAGATACAAACAAACGGAGAAATTTTGAACAAGAAGAAATAGGAAAAAGAGCATAATGGTAAATTGGGAAAAATAGATGGAAGAACATAAAAGTAAACAAACAATAAAAAGAGAAAAATGATGAAGGAAAAAAGGGGTTCAGTAGAAGAATAAGTACTTAAATATGAAGAATAGAAGAAAACTGAGTAGAAAGAAAAAAGAAGAAACAACAAAAAAATAGATCAAAGACCAGCAGAAGATATTCACAAAAAATAGAGAGAATACATTTAGAGAAAAATTGAAAACGAAGAAAAGAACTGTTTTGAGTCAAAAGAAAGAGGACAGGGAAAATAACATTAACGAAAGGAGAAATTATGAATAAGAAGAAAAGGAAAAAGACCATAAGTGGAAAAATAGTAGATGGAAGAACATAAAAGTAAACAATAAAAACGGATAAATGATGAAAAACGAGGTTCACTAGAAGAATAAGTAAATAAATAAAAGAGTAGAAAGAAAAAACAAGAAACAACAAAATAATAGAATAATTTTTCCAAACAAAAAAAAAGGGGAAAAACAGCATAATATAAGCACAAAAAATAGAAAGAATGGATTTAGAGAAAAATTGAAATGGAAGAAAAGAACTGTTTTTAGTTAAAAGAAAGAGGACAGGAGAAAATAACATTAATTAAGAGAAAATAGACCATAACGATAAATTGGGAAAATAGTAGATGGAAGAACATAAAAGTAAACAATAAAAAGAGAAAAATGATGAAAGAAAAAAAGAAGTTCAGTAGAAGAAACAGGTAGAAGAATAAGCATTTAAATATGAAGAATAGAAGAAAACTGAGTAGAAAGAAAAAACAAGAACCAACAAAAAAATTGAAGAATTTTTTCCATTACAAGTAAAAAATAAAAAAGGGGAAGAGAAGCAGAAGATAAGCACAAAAATAGATTTAGGATTTAGAGAAAAACTGAAAATTAAGAGGCATAGTTTTGGGTATAGAGAAAGAGAACAAGAGAAAATAACAATAATTAAGAGGAGGTATTAGCAGAGGGAGAAATTTTAAGCAAGAAGAAATTAGAAAAAAGTCTATATTGATAAATTAGAAAATATGGTAGACGGAAGATTAGAAAGAATAAAAAGAGAAAAATAATGAAACTAAAAAAGAGGTTCAGTAAACCTGAACGCGAAGAAGAACAGAAGAATGTAGAGTAGAAAGAAAAAACAACAAAAAAAATAGAATATTTTTTTCCATTCCAAATAAAAAATAAAAACGTTAAAAGATAAGGGGAATCAGAATAAGAGAGAGTGGATTTAGAGAAAAACTGAAMAAGAAGAAAGAATCAGTTTTGTGTAGAAAGAAAGAGGACAAGAGGAAATTGTTTGAAAAGAAAAGGAATACATTTTGAGCAAGAAAAAATAGAAAAAAATCTTTTATTGATAAATTGGGTAACATCTTAGATGGAAGAACGTAAAAATTCGGAATTCGAAGAATTCGAAGTACGAGTAGAAGAAACTTGCACAGGAGATGAACTTAAACATTTAAAGAAAAAAAAATTGAAAGGAATAAAAAGGAAACAGAAATCAATTGTTCATGTTTTCATAAAACTGTTTTCCATAAAAATTAGATTTTTTATAGTAGTAGCTCACAAATTATAAAGCGAATGAAAATATGAAAATTTAGTCAATATGTCATCAATTTTCTGACTGTTTTTGCACTCAGCTTCGATATTAAAACTTCACGTTGTATAATAATACTTACCGCACTTTTAATGTAAAAATTTAGTACTTACACATGTCTTTGTGGGTGCTATTATCAGCAATCCGAAAAACGTAATCTTTGGTGGTCTCCTCCGTCTCGGAGAGAGCTGGAAGCGGCCTCCTGCGTTTATTGGAATGACTCCCCGACCGTTGCGACCACAAAGGCGGATCCAGACGCCCCCTTGGCAATAACCCCGTTTCAATGCAACTAAGAAACGCCAACATGTGCCCCCCTTTGGGGAAATGAATCGGTGGTCGTTGCACCCCATCCTGACCCACCAAAATAACAGTCCCTCCAGTTTCACTATCCTGGTGACAATGGACGTAAACAATCTCGTCGAGGCGCACTTGCAAAGCATAATCCCAAAAGACACTATGGAAAAAAGGATAAAATTATCCTTCGACGTGTTTATTTTACCTTTTATCCTGGACTTCGTCAGTGAAGCCATTCATTAATTGATTAGGCGTCCATTTGATCGTTAAACCGCTCGCTGTTTGGTGCAAACTGAGGTATCCAGGCATGGGTTGCGAAACATCCGCATTCACAGGCAATACTAGAACGTTGTTTTTGCCAAAGAGTAAAGTCGCTCGGGAGTTTTGGTGGAGACTTTCGACGTAGTCTTTGGCCAAGTGTTGAGTGTTGGTGCGATTTGCTATCGAGTCGTCGGAACTTGCGTTGAGGGAGCGACGGAAATTGAGGATGGGGCGCCGGACCGAGGGCGGGGTTGAGTGGCCACTTGAAATTCGATGTCTTTGAACCTTTGGTTTACAAAAAAAAATTATTACACCACTCCAAAATATTAAAGGAAGTTTTTTGGTGATATTTGAAAGGCTGTATCTCATCGTAAAATGGTCGTATTTAGATTTTAAAAAAATATCCGTTTTGAAGGTTTAAGTTCCTAGTTTTGAGATTTTTTGGCAATTTTTTTATGTGTTACGTTTATCACGCAATTGTAAATAATATCGCGAGGAAAAAAAACTATTTTTTTTAGTTAGGTGGGCTGGATAGCATATTTATTTACCTTTAATATGCTTTTTTATATTCTCTTTACGTCAATTTATCGCTGAGATATCTGACTTTAAATGAAAAAGAATTTTTTTGTCTTTGACCATCGATATCTCAGCAACCATTGATCACACAGAGAATATAAGGGTTGTGTCAAAAACTGGAATAAATCGACTCTTCTAACGAAAACTATAGTAATTGATAAAAATTGGTTTTTGAGTACGATGGCTTAGTTTTGAGTAGAAAGAAAGAGAACAAGAGAAAATAACAATAATTATTAAATAGAAAAAAGTCCATATTGATAAATTAGGAAATATAATGACGGAAGATTAAAAAGAATAAA